GAGACTCCAACAGAAAGGGAAAAAAAATGGGGAAGCATCGGATCAAGGAGAGAAAAGAAAACTACCTGTTGCTGAGAATCTGGGTATGAAATAGATTGAGATGCCGAGCTTCAACCGCCATTGTTCTATCTCGATTATAATTCCTAATGGAAGGGGTAGAATTAAAAGAGGCATGCAAATAAATAGGTGCAGAAGGCAGCTTATAACGGCTGGGGTTATTTTAGGGACTTTACAATTAGATGCCATTTAATGCCAACGAAGTTGGCTCAAGCCCATAACCCGTTCTAAAACCCGGTTATTTCGGGTCCACTCCGTGTCTTTGGTGTGAGTAATTTATTTCTCCACATTTTTTGTTTCATCTTAGAAAATATGAGATATTCTTATTCTTTTTATGTACATCCATTTAAATATTATTAACATAGATTTCAAACTTGTGTGGAAAAAATATAGAAAAAATATTACTTCATATTATTTATGATACAATTATTTTACTTGCTATATATTTATAATTTATTTATGAGTAAATGTAGGCCATTAATTATTTTTATGTTGACATCGATTATTAAATATTAGTTTACTATATAATGAAGAACTTATTAGTTTTTCATCATACATGAGTATAAAATATTGGTGTCGACTAGAAAATCATTTGAGTTGATTAAATCGATATATTATTTTTAAAAATTGGGTTAAAAATAATATTATTTAGTTTTTGTTAGAAAAATTAAAATAATTAATATTTAATTAAAATATATATAGGTAAGTACAAAAATTTCACATAAGCAACTGGATTAATCCATACATATTTTTTGGTAAAAAGAATTTCAAAAAAGAAAAAGAAAATAACAAAGCGAAAGTTTGATTGAAGATATAGAAGATTTACTGTACATCCCTTTATGTAGATGCATATTTGTTTTGCAAAAATAATAACAAAATAAAAGAGTATTAAGTTGAAAAGAAAAATGATTAACGTAATCTGCATGATATGCATAATCTGGTTAAATATGTGGGATTTGACATAACGAGCACCAATAATAATCAATAGTTAAATGTATATGTATAATGAACAAAAATATATATATATCTATATACTGATTTGTATATTATATATAAGAAAATAAAATAAAGTAAAAGATCATAACAAAATAATGTAGTTTTAATTTTAATAAATTAAAATCAAAAGGGAAAACCTGTCTTAATATACTCATTGCTTTAAAGATTTGTCTGTTATAGCATTTATATATATAGTGATTGAGAATTTCAACATTTGCCTCTAACATTCATTATAATTGTGAAAATTTGCTGCCAAAACCGTGACTATATACATACACCTGACATTGAAATTCTCAAATTTGACATGCAAAATGTTTTCATAAAATTCTATAATAATTTTGTTTTATCAATCAATTTGCCTATTTCTTTTGAAATTATCCACGGGTAGTCTTTTTCATCACTTCAAGTCAAAATGCGACAGTTAACTTTAATAATTTTGTACCAATAATTCAAATTCAGTGACCATTGATAATCAATTATTGTTCAGCTATTCTTAGATTAGAGGACTAAGAAACTACTTGTTCAATATATAAATGTACACATGCATGTCCTGACCTAAATAAATAGACAAATTAGTGATGCAGGAATAGCTCATATTGTAGGTAAGTCCAACTATTCTTGTGCAACTCCATTTTCATTTTTTTTTTTTTTTTTTTTTNTTAATGCTACCTATTTCCCCTCATATGGATCCTATGAATAAAATGATAACCCACACCTATAAGTAACTTCATTTGAATGTTTGTTTACTAACATTTTGGGTGAGAAAAATTAAATCGAAATCGAGAACAGAGGTAAATCGTATAATACGTACGATACGGCTTGATTTTGTTTTTTAGCTCGGAAATTTTATTGTTCAGTTTTTTCCTACACTGCGATACGATTGATTATTATTTTACACAAATCTTGTTTTTAGTTTTGTTTTTCAATGCTCAGCGCAATTTTGCACCGATCGAACTGCACCAATTAAAGTATAAATGTATAAAATTGAAGCAAAATCGAAAACTGAGCTACACGTGCATCCCGTTTTGGTTCGTTTATGAAAAAAAAAAAAAATTGTTTTGGTTTTGGATTAGTTTTTCCTAATTATTGTGCGGTTCAATTATTTTTTTGTAAGTTCGCTTTTTCAGTTTTGCGATTCGTTGCAGTTTTACAATGAATTATCGGGCCATGGCTCACCCCTACTAAAATTATATATTATTTTGATATGAATCACAATTATTGGCTAACCAAAATCACGTTTAAGAAGAAACCAAAAACTTTCCAATCTGCACAAATCCACTCACATTTGATGACAGTTCATCTAATAAATGTGAGATACTTCTTTTATATATACAATTGAATAGTTTCACAACGGATATTATGATTATTATACAAAACAGAATATAATTTTTCTAATAAATATGTATATTTTTCTTATTAACATGTCATACTATAAAAAAAAATCAAAATTAAACATTTCATGATAGAACTATGTAATTTTTGTTTAAAAAAAAGTGTGACAAATCGACCCGTCTAACTGTCAAACATCCGCATTTGTGAATATTGATCTATGTATTTCTGTTTATGCAACATATACAACTGTAAGGTTGACTGAAACTACAACTTGCTGTGATACTCATTTAATTGCTTTCAAAATAATTTCCCTCACAAATTAAGTTATGAACTGCTTCCTGTGCCCTCATCTGGGTAATATTTAATTCAATCTTAAAAAAAAAATCCCTATTAGACAGATGAGCTGTAATTATGGAGACAAATAAAACAGGGCGCTAGCTATCCAATTAATAATAATTGATCCCTAAAATCATAAGCCCACATGGTTACAACTTACAAGCCCATCAAATATTGTAGTTTGT